TATCGATATTATTAATATTGCTAGAGAAAACAACGTGCATTTACTTTCTCTACCCCCACACTCTAGGCACAAGAAACAGCCTTTAGATAAAAATTTTATGGGGCCTCTAAAAAAATATTTGACAGAAGATATACGTTATTGGATTAGAAATAACACAAGGCCTCTAACGCATTTCGATATAATGGAGTTATTTAAACGTGTCTATCTAAAGAGAACCAGAGAGATTGCAGTCAATGGTTTTAGAATAACTAGTATTTGTCCTTACAATAGAAATATTTTCCAAGATCACGACGTTACAGGTGGTCAGGGAGCATACGAATGACCAATATAAAACGGTCGAAAAGCAGCAAAATCCCACTTCTTTATCTGCTATTCCTGGAGCAAATTCTGAAGTAACAAGAACTCCCACATCCGGCAGAAATGATGATTTTAATAATTCCGATTCAATTTTGTAGCCTTAAGCGTCTTCTTGTCGATGCGTTGAAATGTCATTACCTCATCCGTCATCTACATCATATATTAAGCCATTTTCCATCCATACCATTTCTAGGATTTCTTCGACAGCGGAGGTAACTTCGACATGTATATTACACTGCATTTCTTTTCAGGTTTTTTGTTGCTTTTCAGGTTATCCAATGTTTTTTCATTGTTTTTATTTTGTTTAATAAATTTTTTCATTAAAATTACTTTGTTTCATTTGTTATTATTTATTATTTTTTTATTGTTTTCAAATTTTTAATTTTTTCAGTTTTCTTTAGTTTTTCTTTTTGTTTCAGGTTAGATAAGTAATTTTAAGATGCCGCGCACCTACGTTAAAAAGCTGGGAGGTGGACCTTACCTCAACTACAAAAAGGAGAATATGGACAAAGCTATTGAAGCGGTACAAAACAGCATGTCCAAATTCAGAGCTAGTAAAAAATTTAAAGTTCCGAGAACAACACTGATATACCAAATTCAGGAAACTCATCCTTCAAGACCGGGTCGTCCATGCGTGCTGACTATCGAGGAAGAATAGTTGTTAGCAAAAACCCTTGGAGTAGTGAGAGACTGGGGCTTCCCCATGACACACCAGGATATACGTCAAGTTGTAGCGAAATTTGTGACGAAACAAGGAAAGAACATATTAGAATGGAATAACAACAAAACAGGTCTGGATTTTATAAACAAGTTTGCTGCGAGAAACAACCTGACAACCCGATTGGCTTCCAATATGAAACGTCAGAGGGCTGCCTTAGGTAAGCCGGAACTACAAGAATTTTTTGAAAACATTAGGGGCATCTTAGAAAATGCGTTGCCAGAACATGTCCACAACTACGACGAGACGAACATCACCGATGATCCTGGCTCTAAAAAAGTATTGGTGCCCAGAGGAACCAAGAGAGTCGAAAGAGTTCAAGAGCACTCAAGGACATCGGTCAGTATAATGGTTTGTGGAACAGGTAAGGGGAGTTTGCTTTCTCCCATAGTTGTTTATATAGCCCAACATCTATATGAAAATTGGACGACTGGAGGTCCTGCAGGCTCAGTTTATCAGGTGACGCCTAGTGGATGGTTTGATATGACAACTTTTGAAAAATGGTTTTTTGATATCCTGATCCCTCTCATAAACGCCAACAACACCCCAGAATAAAAAAAATTGTAATTGGAGATAATCTTGCGTCACACTTCTCCCCTCGTGTCATCAAAGCAGCTCAAGCGAATAGTATTTATATGATTCCCCTACCTGCAAACTCAACTCATTTGATGCAACCCCTCGACGTAAGTTTTTTCGCTCATATGAAGCGAAAATAGCGCGAAATTCTGGATTCATGGAGAAAGGAATGTCGTCGAAAAGGAAGCATCCCAAAGGTACAATTCCCAAAATTGCTAAATCGATTGTGGTCTCATGTAGCAAATAATGCTGCCACAAACCTACAATCTGGCTTTAGGGCAACAGGACTAAGCCCCTTTAATACAGAAAGAGTTCTAGCAAAAATTCCTGGCGACCATTCGGATTCCGAGAGGATGCTGGATTCAAGTTTATTAGAGTTTCTGAAGGAGGCTAGAGGATATTCTAATGAACCGACAAATACTCTCAAACTGGAAGGAAAATAGCCACAAAACCAGGCCAGCAGATGCAAATGCCAGTTGGAACAAGCACTCCAACGCACTTAGACTTAGCAATGAGACTACTGGACTTACCAGAAATTCCTAAAGTTAATACAACTCCCACTACGCAAAAACCACAGAAAAATTTGAAGGCAAGCCGCTCCATCAAACCTAAAAAAACTAAAACCGTTGATTTTGATGAATCTGGACTATCGAGAGCTCACCAAAAACAGACGAAAGTTGACACTAATTCTGAATCTTTTTGCTTGGTATGCAAAAAATGTTCTTACGCAGCTTACACTGACAGCAATGACTAGATTTGTTGCGTTTCTTTCTTAAAGTGGGTTTGCGGTATTTGCAATTGTGGCTCCAAGGACCCTCAATATGAATGTCCTTCGTGCAGTTCGTGTTCCATTTGCTTAATACAGTACTCCTAATACACAAACAGAAAGGCATGGATCAAGTGTATAAACTGTGGTAAGTGGGTTTGTGTATATTGCAACGGGGGTTCAAAAGAAGCAATATAAATCGGTTCCTTTGTTTTTATGTTCTAAACTTGTTCCCGAATCATTGTATTTATGTTTTTTAACTTTGTTTATTGAGTTTTAATTAGGTTCAATAATGTTTTTTTAGTTATTCATTCATATGCCAAAATGTGCCATACAAAGATTTTAAAAATAAACGACTTCGTAAAATTATTTTTAATGCCTTATTTGCCTAATTTAAGCCTCTAAACCCGTTGCCTAATGATTCTGGTTAATAATTTATAATGATCTCTACTTTTTTTGGTGTCGAAGGTGACTTGGAGAAATCTTACTTCGACATAATGCAGAATTAAATAGAGTGTCGAAGTTACCCCGAGTACGGGGTAACTTCGACACCAAACAAACAATAAAAAAAAGGTAGAAGGAGAGGGTGGGGGATTTTTGTTTTTTGCCAAGGCTTCAATTGATACAATGACTCATGAGGCAAGATTCTCAAGAGAATGGTTTTCTTCACAGAGCACGAAGTATAACTAAAACCTGTCGAAGTACAAATCTTTCAAATCAATGGTTATATCTGTATCGTCTTACAAAAAGGAATTGGGAATTGGAAGAGTCTCTAAAACAAATTGAAGAAAGAGAAAAAGTATCTTTAAAAACGGTTCTGTTTAAGGACCAAAGTAAAAACTCCTCAGAACTCGATAAATCTAAATCCCTAGTGACAAAGGTGAACCCTGGATTTAAATTGTTCGTTTCAAATTGTGGGCACAAGAAGACTGTGTTGGGATTGAGACTTACACTTTTATTTAGAAACTTTGTAACTCAAAATAGTGCTAAATTCAAAATTTCGTCATGGCAGTCGGCTAATATGAACCAGTGTCATAATAACCTACTATGACGAAATTTCAATATATTTTAGGATTCTGTTTTGTTATTTTTTAGGAATGTGTTGATAACTTTTTTATATTATAATATCTGAATTCTATTCCTAAGTTGTAATATGATTAAGTTTTGAATTAAAAATTAATCTAAGTACATTTTTTAATTTTTCTTAAATTTAATGGATCCCTATGTTTGAAAATTGGTTTCAGGACATTATAAAAAAAAATTCCAGCTAAATTTGCTATTATTTGGATAATCCATCCTATCACACTCAATTAAAGGAATCACTACCTACAACAAGATGGAAAGAAGAAGATATTTCAGAATGGTTTCATTCTAAAACTATTATTAGTCCTCCTAAATCCTTGAAGGCAGAATTACGTGTAATAGCAAGGCAACATACAAACAAATTCAAAAAATATACTGTAGATTAGATGGCTGGAGAAAAAGAAAATTAAATGTCCAATTGAACTGATCTGATCATGATTGTTTCACGAAACAATACAACATTTAAATTACCTAATGTGCAAAATTTGTTTTTGAATGCAGTTTCAGAGCTAAAAAAATGCACTCTTTTTTGTTTGTTAAGCTTTCGGACACTGTTCATTTCCTTCATCAGAACATCTACAATGAATAAGAAAAACGTTAAAAATTAGTTATAAAAACAGAATAAACTAATTTACTTACCAAACGGAGATTAAAAGAAAAAATTGACATCAATTACACAATTAAAAATTTTTCTTGTTAACATTATGCATTATAAAATATATTTAAAACAAAAAAAAGCTACTATGGTTAAAAATTGAAGACTGAGAAACAATTTTATTATTAGAATTTTAATTCCATTTTTTCATTGTACTTCTTTTCTTATAACTATACAGGGTGATACATAAATTATATTCCTAGAAATCATGTGCTATAACTAGTGCATTTTTTATCCAGCACGCAGCAGCTCTCCTCGCAGCCCGTTTCTGTGAAAACCCGCGACAATCTTGCATCTGTATGCATCGATGTCGTCCTCGAAGGATATGGATATCGATCGGCTGCCGCCGCGTCTATACCTTTATCGAATCTAAACTGATATCGTATGCAACGATGGTACCACACCGGACGGTACCAATGGGTTCGTTCGGAGGATGTCGATGTCGCTTCAGCATTGTCTGATGGATGAACTTTGAGACGCACAATGAATTTATTTAGGGATTTATTAACTCTTGCTAAGGTATAGTTTGCATACTAAATGGCGTACTTTAAGTAAAATATGTATCGATATAATGGTGCATTCATTCTCATTGTATATTTTTTTATTTCAGAAGTTATAGATATTCATATATAAATACAGGCTGTTGTTTTATTTATTTATTTATTTATTTATTTGGGATACAAACAGGACAAACTCAGAACAGTGTCTACTAAAAATATACAAAGAATGATTAATTAATTAAAAAAAGTTTAGCGTTAAAACTATGCAACAAATTAAATGCAAGGTACTTGGATATCTATAACAAGCAATGCAAGTGAACAATTATTATAAGTTTTAAAATATAAATGAAATTTAGATTCAAAAGAAGGTATGTCACAACTGTAAAAAGTGAGTTTTAAGTGCATCTTTCACATATAAACGCCCTTTTTGAATATATATATATATATATATATATATATATATATATATATATATATATATATATATATATATATATATATATATATTTATTTATTTATTTATTTAACATACCACTATATGGTTTTTCCATTTACAGAGTGGAAAAATACAGCATTTATAGATTATTCTAACATATTCATTTAGGATGGCCGGATCGAACGGTACACCTAATAATTCGCACTGTAAAAAGTATAAGAGCAAAGTTATTTTGGGTATTAAATGTATTAATTGTGATAACTGTTTCCATCCCAATTGTGCAAAAATGAAAAATTTAAAAGTTGTTGATGATAATTTGGTTATATATTGTGAAAAAGTCGATCAAAATATTGTGGAAAGTGATACCGCATTTTTTGATGCTTTGGAAGTATTTGCATGCGACGATAATAAGGTAGATATTAATTTTGTAAGGTATATTGTCAACCAAAAAGATGAGTTAATAAAAGAAATGCGTAATAAAATAAATATTTTAAACAAACAAATTGTTCTATTGAAGAGAATTCAATCAATTTATCCGACAAATTCGAATACGGTCGATGAGATAAACAAAAAGTGGTCCGATAGTGCTAAAGCACAAAAACCAAATCAGCCTAATTTAATAATTTCGAGTGTTTCAAATACGGGTGACTCCCAAACAAATTATAGCAAATTTAAAAATATTTCTTCACCAAGTCTGCAGGAAGTTCAAAGGGATAAGATGAATACAACTATTAATTTAAGCACAAATGTATCCAAAAAAGAGGAAATTAAAATGGACCTTAACCGATCGGAAGTATCCTCAAAAAAAGATAGTGCTAGTATTGTTAAAATGAATTCATCTGAGGCAGTTGAAAAGTGCAGTGATGCAAATAATTGGAACGTCGTTAACCGACAAAGAAAATGTAATATTGTTGTAGGAAATAATACTACCGAAATTGTGAAAAGCGTACCTAAACATGTAAGCCTACATGTCTACAGAATTAATATTGACACTACCACTAATGATCTGGAATTTATTCTCAATAAAAATTTTCTGGAAGTTAAATGTGCAAAATTAAATTCGCTACGTCCTGAAATTTACTCTTCTTTTAGAGTTACAATATTGGAAAGTAATTTTAAAAATGCTATGAATCCTGAATTATGGCCTCTAGGAGCTTGCATTTCTCGTTTTTTAGAGAGGCGCAGGAATTCGGTCCACAATACACCTTAATGTTTGAACCAAACCTGCTTCTACTTAATATAGCAACTTTAAACGAAACGAAGGTGAACTTTATCGATGATCATCTACATCAATATTCGATCCCAATTATTAGTTTAGTCGAAACTGGAGTTCAAAAATGTTTTTTGGATTCCCTTTACCTCAGGAGTTACACCTTGGCATCGTCATATTATCGACCAACTATGAAATGTGGTGGCACTGGTATTTGGCTGAATGAAAGTCTTGAAATAAAGGAGCTAAATTGTGACATGTTCTGTATTGAACAACATTTTGAAGTATGTGGTGTTTCTTTTAAAAGTCATAATCGTGTTTTTATAATTATATTGTACTATAGATTTCCTAGTGGAGATGTTAATGTTTTTATAGAGAATTTGAATTGTGTAATGGAACATTTTTATAAACCAAATATTAATTTTATCATTTGTGGTGATTTTAATTTTGACGTGTATAAAAATACAAATTTTAACTTATTAAGTAATTGTATGTCTGGATTCAATCTTGTACCTATTGTAAAATGGCCTACTCGAGTGACAGATACTACCTGTACCATTATTGACCAAATTTTTGTTAGTTCGGATGAGGAAAGCACTTCCTGTGTTGTCGATAATCAATTTTCTGACTATAAAACGGTTATGGTTGAATTATCGTCGTTGTGTATTCAGAAAAATAAAAATGCTTTTCAATTTAAAAGAAACTTTAGTGAGATTAATATCAACAAATTTTTCAATCAAATACAAAATACTGACTGGACATATCTTTATCAAATTGACGATTTTGATGAAGCATTTAATTACTTTTACAATAATTTTTTATTCCATTTTAAATCAGCTTTTTCACTTCGCAAATGCTCTATGGGTTGGAATAGTGACCTCAGCAGAGCATTTGACTGTGTGAATCACGATATTTTATTGCCCAGATTAGAGATCATAGGAGTAAGAGGCAGGCCTTATTCTTGGATAGCTTCATTTCTTAAAGGCAGGTCTCAGTTTGTATCCATAAAATCCACCAGTAAAAATCAATGCAAAAATTTTAATACAGATCACTTGTCAGTTCAGATGGGTGTGCCACAGGGATAAATTTAAGGTCCAATGCTATTCCTCCCATATGTTAACCATATTGATTCAATTATAGAAAAAAATTCTCATACAGCCTCTACCGATGCCTTTTCTATAATTGTTTTTGATAAATCTACTGAATTTCTTGAGACAAAATGTGAACTGATTTTAAATACATTTTTTAGCAGTAGTTGCTTATTTTTTAAAAGCGAAAAAAACCGAAATTTTTAGGCTACACAATGTGCAAAATAAAGTTAATGATATATGTTTTTCAGTTAATAAGTCATTATTGACGTTACAGTCACAGTAGCGTTAAATTTTTAGGCATTTTATTAGATGAAAATCTTAACTGGAAACACCATTGTGTAACGTTTAAATTTGGCCTTATAGCGGTTTTTCATAAAAATAGGAATAAGCTAGTTTTTATCCGTGTTCAGTAATTATTTAATGGGTCCTTCTATACCCGCATTTAAACCACTGTGCTTTTGGATCGATATACGAACCACTGATTTTGTCCTCACCGTCGAAAGCGATTCAGGGGTCCCTCTGCGACACTCTAGGTGAGCATGTGGCTGCCCTGTTTTCAAGATGTCGGTCTAGCGTTTCCGCCCTGACGTTAATTGTGAGTATATGATCAGTTTGGGGTAGATAGGACCTCCATTTGAGTTTAGTTAGGCTATTTATTTGGTTATTTTAGCCCTTTCTGTCAAGAATTTGTTTCGTAATAGAGGGCGCTGATGGGACACCTATTTGTCACAAAGGTATGTTGGTATTACTGGTTTGGGAGATGTCAAGTGACGTTGTTCCGTATTGCTGGAAATTTCGAGAATAATATTCGACACGTGGATTTTTTTTTTGGAAAGGTACTGTTTCGAAATTTATTGGAATTCGTTTCAATACATTTGGGATTTTGCGGAACAACCTTTGTTTAAGTTACAACAGTGTGTGATTGGTAGTATTTTTGGGAACCACTTGTTGTAGGAGCTCTTTTGTGAGGATATATTTAACCACGTTTTTGGATCTCATTGGTAAGTTTCCTTCTACGCAGTATTTAAAGTTACGACGTAGTAATTCTTTTTTGTAAGGCCTTCGTCTTTTATTTCAGTGCCCACATATATATGTAGTCTTTCTGGATAAGCTGTTCACGAATTTGTAGTTCAATTTTATCTGGTGCTTCCTGTCTCCCCTGTAGCTGTTAAATTTTATCTGGTGCTTCGTGTTTCCCCTGTAGCTGTTAGGGGTAAATATAGTTTTATTTTAGTTAGCATGCTTACCTAGACGATTATAACCCTAAGTTATGCTTCTTTTGGTTGTATATATTTTCAGTATATGGGATTGACTATTAGGGGTAATATTTTGAAATCTAAGGGTGTAATTTGCTTATTAAATGTAATTGTTGGGTAGAACTTGCTTCACGAGCCGTCTATCTTTTTGCTTTGTAAATCTGAAGATTACCTACATAAAGCTGAACTTAATTTAACTAGTAAATGTTGAGTAGTTATTACCCATTTCTAGACCTCGCTTCACGAGAAGGCTATGTAGGTACCTGGTTATTTAATTTTAACTTCTTTATTAACCAGGGATAAATAGTTATTTCTGTGTTTTATCTTACACGTTTTCTTTAGGGTTCTTGTGACGGGATATCAATTCTTGTTATGGGCCAGTAGTCCTTGTGACGGGCTGACTAGCATATCTTGTGACAAGCTAGTACTCCTTGTGATCAGCTAGTAATCGTGTAACGGGCTAGCAACCTTTATGACAGGCAGATTAATTTGTATGCCGAAGTAGGACATCAACCGTCTACTAGAGCAGCTGGAAAGAAGTGACAGCGTACCACAAGTTTTGCTATCTTATTTTGATATTACTATATTAATATTTGATCTATTTTATTGGGGGGTGTTATTAGTACGTATTTTAATCTAAACCTAATGTAAACTAGGTTTAGGGGTGTATGGTTTACAGTACATTTTTATTAAACCCGAAATACGTCACCAAGAGCTCTTCGTGTGGTATATTACTTATGGGTAGTTAATATTTTTAATAAGTAACATAGTTTTACTTGTTTTAACCCCTAGCGTCCGTAAATAGTACACTATTATTTATTTATTTGCTAAAATACAGTACACACCTCATGTGTTACATCTCTACGTCTTAGTCTCATTTAATTTTTTTAAACATAATGTAGCGTAATATTTGTAAATATTACTCCCAGTGATACTGGATTATTGTTATTAGTTGGGGAATCTATTATTAATGTACTAAGTGATTTAGTTGGTATTAATTTTGTTAAATTTTGAAGTGGTAACGAAGTTGACCCCCCATGTGAACACGATAAATTATTTATAATTTATATTACATTCTTGAAAAAGCGCAACTAGTAGCGTTATACTATGCACAAATCAACTCTAGTTTACGATATGGCGTCAAAATGTATCTCATTAATTCTAAAAGTTTTTTTTATTGACTAAATTTATGTAAATAGACCAAATAAACTAAGAAAGTTAGGTTTTCCTATAAAAACGCACGTGCATGTTATGAAATTTCATTACATGCATGTTATTGTTAAATGTCATTTACAAGGAATTTTGACAGTGCGATTTTTAATGTTTACTGACATGGGCATAAAAAAATATAAATATGTGAGCCCTCAAAAAAAGAAGTAACCACAAACACAGAAAACTAGTTTATACACATCCACTATATATTTAAAATTGCCTATAACCAAAGGAATCATAGGTTTCACCAATGAACCGACCTTTTATTACCAAGATACTAATTGGAATAACTTAATGAATAAAATAGTTAACTCCCTACCTATTGTGTTAGATTTTTCTCATAACAAATTTACAATTTATTTTATTAAAACAACATTTTTTCCATTTACTAGTTACGACTCAAATTTACCTGAATATAATTCAATTATTATAAATTATAACAATGAAGATGTTTGAAAAAAAACTTGTGAATTATAATTGATTGTAATTTAAAGTGGAATGGACATACCAGTAGTGTTATTTAGAGAATTACGTTTTATTTATCATTTATCAAAATTTAAATTTTTAGAATGTTGTTTGGATATTGCCACTTAAATGCTATATTATGCATTAATAGGGGAGACTGGGGTATAATGATCCCCTTAAGGCTTATTTCGTTATATTTTTGCAAGTACAAGGGTATACATTTATTTGTTTTTTATAGAGGATTTGGTGTCCATTTGACAACAATTTAGTATTTAAAAAGACGTTGATTTTCTTCACATTTTTGAATGACAATGATGTTTGTTAATATCTGCAAAAGGATCATTTTACCCAAATGCTAAAGGTAAAACGATCCCCCACATGAGGCAAAATGATCCTATTTCAAAACATTATTTTATTACTACACTTTCGATAAATAATATAACAATAAATGCAAAACATTAGTTTATTTATAAAAAAAGCATAAAACATAACATATAAAAAATTAAAACATTTTTAATACTCTTAGGGAGTTAACAGAAACTTGCTCAACATTATTTAACAAAATTAACTTAAGCAACTTTTAATACCTTAACTAATTTAAAACTTGATATTTTTTTTAACTCGTTAGGTTTGGGTTTGATGCAAACATAAATCACACTCAAAATCGCAATCGTTCTCATTGATTATGCTGCTGCAAAACACTTTTAAGAAGATCATAAAACATTGAAACAACAATTTTATTAAATCCCCTTGCGTGGGCTGCTGAAGTTGCTTCTGGAACTCTTAACGTTATTTCTGGGTGCCCTTTTTCGGAATCCAAAAAGCCAGTCATATCCAGCCATCTGTTTTTTACGGGAAAAATTATGGGGAATTTTATTT